AATAGGTATTGAGTTGCATATGTACCCCGTAGCGAATGTCATGTATCAGTCACTTAAGTATCTTGTACGGAAAAGTAACGTCTTAAATGACTTTGTGTTGCGTTTATATAGAAGTCGTTTATGACCTTTTCATAGAAATAGTAATTTCCTCGTTGATGTCATCTGCATGACTTTATCATGCAGTGATAATTGCAATGGACTTTTTATAAGTAACCGCTGCAAGACCTTGTCTGTTATAAGTCTTTGATAGGAGTACACCTGCATGACATTGTCACCAGTGTCATTGTCAGCTAAAGTCGTGTAGGATTCACAGCAAGTGCGACAATGTCATTAATTCCTCATTAGTGCCAATGTAACCGGTGACCATTTTCGCTACTGGGTAAATGCCATGGACTAAAAAATGTGATGAAATAAAAAAAAAAAAAATTCGACAAATTTTGTTGTGTTTTATTTATAAAAGAAAATCTGCCGTCTTATTGAATAACCATATATAATCTTTTCACGTTGCCTACTTGTTAGTGAAACGAGTTTAAAATTTGATAAGTTTTGATGATAAATTTTCGGTAGAAAATTATCTAACCCTAATGTATTTTTTGTACATAGAGTGTAGGTACATATAAAAATCGACTGCGTTTGGTATAGGCTGCAGGCAACCGTTGAAAAACAACAACAACCGAATTCGTCGAATTGTCATTTAAGTTTCGAATCGCAACAAATTGACCGAGTAGTTGATTTGTAAATAATTTCCACTTTGTTAGTAATTGTTCAAGATTTTGATCATACTATGTAACATACAGACACATGTACCCAGCAAGAACTGTACCAGACAATTGTTGGGATTTAAGACCAACACTTCTGATAGAATGTGGCGTTATTCGTTAGCAGATCGATGTAGTCATTTTTATTAGGATCGCAGGCAAAAAATTACCGTCATCTGTTACTCTCATCAATGCATGTGGTTTCCTTCCTATCTCTCCCACTCATGATTTGACAAAAACTATTGAACTTTTAAAGTATATATTTTTTCTCCCGATTGTTGTAGTTTTAGTCAGCCTCGTCTTGCTGGGTATGTGCCTACTCGTATGTATGTATGTATGTGTATGAGTAAGTGTTGTATTTTTGCATTAATTAATTTAAACACACGCCTTTGTTCGTCACCACTGCCGTGGTTAAACTCAAACAGCTGGTGAAGTGCTTTGAACTTTTGCCAACAGTCTCAAATATGTACATACATAAATGCATATACGCATAACACGAATTCAGTAATATTGTTCATAAGAAATGATGGGTGTTTGTGGGTGTTCAAACTCGAGTCACCAACTGTGATAAAACTAAATTAACTGAGATACTAAATGATAGAGCGTGGCGAGTGTGAATTTTTCACTCGCCGGAATTGAGTCAGTCACCCGGACTTTGTCATATTCTTTGTTGTCCGAACAATGAATAGCGATTCCTAAACCACCAATAAATGTTATGCGTTACACTGGCGAATCCACCCAACACTCCTTGGTCAATGATCTACTATTCTCAAACCCGAGCGCACTTGGGCACTTATGCACTGCCTAAAGGAGTTGAGATCGTTAGAGACTTACGTACAAGCATACCTATGTACGTACCAAAATCACGGTTGCCACATTTGGGCCATTTGGACCAAAACTGGTCCCATAAGTCTTCGTTGGTTCCTTGGACCCTACTTTTGCAAAATAGTATTTTTTCTAATTCAATAAATATTAAATATTTTCTATTTATTTTCAATTTTAACCCTTAATTAGGCGCATAAAGAAAATCACACAATTAGTTGCATGGGGTCCCCAATGACCCCAATAAAAGGGTTGAAACAAGAGTTTTCAAAATAAAAAAAAAGTGTGTATTATCAAAAACATTAAAGTACTCTATTATCGTTAACTTAAAAAAAACAAAAACATATTTTCGACTTCAAACTTAAAAAAAAAATTAAAAACTTAACTACCCCAAAAAATGTTACGTAATTGGTCGCATGGGGTCAGGACTTAGAAGAGCAGGGACACATGCCTACACGCCGATGTTCTGGCAGTGACTTATTTATATACCCCGCGGGCAGTTACGAAGCTAGAAAGAGCGCGAGCACGTTCCAAGCACTCCAAGACATTTTTTTTTCAACTTGAAATGGCCTTGACCCCATGCGCCTAATTAAGGGTTAATAAAATTTGTTAAAAAGTAGTACTTCTAATTCGCCTTATTTAACACTGAACATTTATTAGCACCGGAAATTATCGATAAGTGCACACTGCTAAGAAAATTTAAGAACTTTCAGCTTTTGTCTTCTGTTTGTATTTTAAGCGTTTCTATTAAAATGGACATGCGTATAGAAAAAAATTTCGAACGTACTTTGTATGGGAGAAAATGCGTGACACTGCTAGGAAAAATGTCAAAAATCAACGGATTTGGTGTTACTTTTTTGTAGCAAATTGAATTCCCTCACAATTTTGTCATTTACATTTTTCTGTAGCTCTTGGTATTTACGAGATAGGGGCAAAAAAACGAGAGTATGTAGAGCATTCAATTCTGAAGAAACCCTGTCATTGACCAAGATTATACCATAAAATGCCTCTGCGCTGTAGAGCATGGATAATATGATACGAAACTCTTTTTCTTGTGAGAGCGCTGTCAAAAGGTTAATTTTTCATAACATCTTCCAATAGTGCCACTGCCACGAAATATATGTATGGGTATTTATTAAGAATTTGTAGGAGATTTTCCTTTATTAAGTAAAACACTCGAAAATCGAAAAACTTAAATACCTGCTTTGTGCTTGCGTTTTATAAAATTCTTAAATAATGAGTAAAAGTATTTTTACTTATAAACGCTGCACTTTCGCTTGTTTTATAACTGCATGTAAAATAAATCCCCTGATTTCAAAGTGGTGCATTTTAAACTTGATTAGTGGTAGCTGTTCATCGCCCCCTGAACTTTCTGTGCTGCCAAGTCGTAAAACGAGTTTAGGGGCATTCTTAGAAGCGAAATGAGAGAGTTTCGTATCATATTATCCATGCTGTAGAGTTTTGAAGAAAAAAATCTAAGTTTCCGTGTATTTTAAACGGGAAATCTTTGCTGGCTTTGGCCTAGCAATTAATATTAATATTAAGGGCTAAAATATTCAGGGATTTTTTATTTTTATTTATTTCCCACAAAATTTCGAGGTGGGAAGGAAAAAAATAGTCGCGAAAAAAGCACTCTAATGCACATATGTGAATAATTTAAATGGTAATAAATGTTTGGTCCCTTCTTCATCGAAATGGCCCCTTTTTGATTTATTTTGGACCCGAATTATTATGTTCAAGTGGCTACCGTGACCAAAATTCTCAGACCGAAAAGAGAAATCGATCAAGCCACATCTCACAGAGGTCAGAAACGGTAATCTAGAAGGGCATTTGTGATTTTGGTGAAGTGACAAATTAAAAATTTTTGTTTTCGATTGCGTAACAATTAGCTGATTTAAAAAAAAAAACATTTAAATGGAGTAAATCCACACAATTTCTATTTGCTTGCTGCCAGAGCTGGGTAAATGCAATTACATTACAATTACAATTACATTCCTCAGTAATTGTAATTAGGATTCAATTCCTTTAGTTCACAGCAAAGGAATCGAATACTTTTTCAATTCCTTGAAGTAATTTCAAATGGAATTGTTTTTATACCCGAGCGCACTTGTGCACAAGGGTATTATAACTTT